AAGCCACTTTTTCATTATTGTTGTTATATTTGTAGTGGTGAACTGTGATCGGTGATTTTTTTTTTTTTTTGAGACAGAGTCTCAAGGTGTCACCCTGGTTAGAGTGCTGTGCCATCACAGCTCACAGCAACTTCCAACCCTTGGTCTTAAGTCATTCTCTTGCCTCAGCCTCCCAAGTAGCTGGGACTACAGGTGCTCATCACAAAGCCCGGTTATTTTTTGTTGCAGTTGTCATTGTTGCTTAGCAAACCCAGGCTGGGTTCGAACCAGTCATCCTAGGTGTATGTGGCCAGTGCCCTTGCCGATTGAGCTATGGGCGCCACCTGATCAGTGATTTTTGACATTGCTATTGTAATGATTTTGGCTGCTAAGAACCATACCCAGTTAAGACAGTGAACTTAACGGATAACTCATGCGTGTTTTGACTGATGCACCAGCCAGGCACTTGCCTGTCTCTCTCCCTCTGCTGGGATAGATACAAAATATTGAAATCAGGCCAAATAATACCCCTGCAATGGCCTCTACGTGTTCAAGCAAAAAGGAGAACCTCATGCCTCTCACTTTAAATCAAATGCTAAAAGTGATTCAGTTTAGTGCAGAAGGCTTGTCGAAAGCTGGGAAAGGCTGAAAGCTAGACCTCTTATGCCAAACAGGTAAGTTGTGCATGTAAAGGAAAAATTCTTAAGGGAAATGACAAGTGCTACTCCAGTGAACACAGAGGTGATAAAGAAGCAAAATAGCTTTATTGCTGATAAAGAGAAAGTTTCAGTGGTCTGTATGGAAGATCAAACCAATCACAACATTCCCTTAAGTGAAAGCCTAAATTCAGAGCCAGGCCCTAACTGTCTTTAATTTGAAGAATGCTGAGAGAGGTGAAGAAGCTGCAGAAGGAAAGTTTGAAGCTAGCAGAAGTTGATTCATGACATTTAAGGAAGAACCCATGTCTGTAATATAAAGCTACAGGGTGAAGGAGCAAGTGCTGACACAGAAGCTGCAGCAGGGTACCCAGAAGATCCACGTAAGGTCACTGATGAAGGTGACTGTTGGCAGCAACAGATTTTCAATGGAGACAAAACAGCCTTCTATTGGAAGAAGATGCCATTTAGGACTTTCATAACTAGAGAGGACAAGCAATTGCCTGGCTTCAAATCTTTAAAGGACAGGCTGCTCTCGTGTTATGCTGTGGCCCCGACCCCCAGTACTGGTCCATGGCCTGTCAGGAACCAGGCTGCAAAGCAGGAGGCGAGTGGTGGTTGAGCCAGAAAAACTTCATCTGTATTTACAGCCTCTCCCCCTTGCTTGTGTCACTGCCTGAGCCCCACCTCCTGTCAGCTTGGCAGAGGTGTTAGATTCTCAAAGGAGCACAAACCCTACTGAAAACTGCACATGAGAGGGATCTAGGTTTTGTGCTCATTATGAGAAATAATGTCTGATCATCATGGTGGAGATGACGCCATGGTGCCAGCACTAAGACTGTTTAGTTGCAGAGAAACAAGCTCAGGGGTCCCTCTGATTCTGCATGATAGTGAGTTGAACGATTATTTTATTATATACTACAATGCAATAATAATAGAAATAAAGTGCATAATAAAATCAATGCACTTGAATCATCCCCAAACCATTCCCCTACTCCTTCCCAGATACATGGAAAAATTCTCTTCCATGAAACCAATCCCTGGTGCCAAAAAGACTGGGGAACATTGTGTTAGAGGCTAATACCGCTAATGACTTTACAAGGAAACCAGTGCTCATTTACCATGCTTAAAATCCTGAGGCCCTTAAGAATGATGCTAAATTTACTCTGCCTCTGTTTTACAAATGGAACAGCAAAACCTGGATGACAGGACATCTTTTATGCATTGTTTACTGAATATATTAAGCCCATTGTTGAGACCTACTGCTCAGAAAGATTTCTCTCAAAATAGCAGTGCTCATTGACAATGCACTGTTCACCCAAGAACTCTCAGGGGAATGTACAAGGAGATGAATGTTGTTGTCTTGGGGATGTACAAGAAGATGAATGTTGTTGTCATGCCTGCAAACACAATATCCATTCTGTAGCCCATGGATCAAGAGTAATTTTAACTTTCAAGTCTTATCATTTAAGAAATACATTTCATGGCTCAGCACCTCTGGCTCAAGCCACATACACCTAAGATAGCAGGTTCGAATCCAGCCCAGGCCACCAAACAACACCTTCCTGGTGAAGACTGTGTGAATATTGTCTCAAAATGGCAACAAAGGACACAGAACATTACATAGTTGACAGTGAGGAGCGGGTTTCGAGAGGATTCATGCTAATATTAGAGGAAGTTTCCTTATGAGTAAAATTATATCAAACAGCATCACATACTACAGAGAAATCTTTCATGAAAGGAAGTATTGATTGGTGTGGCAAAGTTAGCTGTTGACTTATTTTAAGAAGTTGCTACAGCTACCCCAACCTTTGGCAACCACTACCTTGATCATTCAGCAGCCATCAACTACGAGGCAAGTCCCTCCACCAGCAAAAAGATTAGGACTCTCCAAAGGTGCAGATGGTTGTTAGCATTTTTTTTTTAACCAATAAAGCATTTGTAAATCAAGGTATGTCCTTAGAGTTAATGCTATTACATGCTTAATAGCCTACAAACTGGTGTAAACATGTCTTTAATATGTACCAGGAAGCCAAACACTGGTGTAACTCATTTTATTGCAGTGTTTACTTTATTGTAGTGGTCTGGAACGAAACCCACAGTCTCTCTGAAGTATGCCTGTTTATATAATTAGGAATAATAGAACATAACTACACATATACAGTATATATTGTTTCCTGTCCTATGAGTGAGATACACAGATTCCAGGATTCTGTTACAGTGTCTTTTCTGGATGTCAGAATTTTGAGTGAGAGACTCACAGCAAGTTAGAACTCAAAAGAACCTTAAAGATTGTTTTCTTCAATCACCTTGAGTGATAGATAAGTAAAATGACCTTCTGTGTAAAGAGGTGACTTATCCAAGATCATGTGGCTAAGTAGTGGCAGAGCCCGGATGAAGGCCAAGCTCTTTGTAACCACCCTTCTTTCCCTTTGTACCATCTGCAGTGATGATTCACCACAGTGATTGACACGAGGCATCAAGTGAATTTGTTACTAGGTGACCTCCAGAGGAAAGCACTAGCTCCTCTCTACTTCCAGGATGACATTTGCAGGCCTCACCCCGGACTCAACTTGAGCTGTTACTGTTGTTATTATTACCCTTGGAAGGCACTCCGCTGCCTGCAAGGTCCTTTCACATTTGCTATTCCTGTTCATCCTCTAAAAGACTCTGCAAAAACAAGCATTATTCTGCTTTTCAAATGAGGACCCTCAAACTCAACAGCATTGTGTGTCCTCCCCCAAGGTTATGCAGTTATAGGGTATCCGGATCTGGACTCTAATTCAAGAGTCCACTCTTCCACTCTCAAGTTCAAGGCCTTTTGTTGATTTAGTTTTAAATCAGGTTTTGCTAAATACAGTTTAATTGCCAGGAGGTGGCATAGCATAGTGCTCAAGAGTGTGGCTGGGAGCCAGATTACTTGGCTTCAGTCTGAGTTCTGCCCCTTATTTTTTACATGACTTTGGGGAAATTACTTAATCTCAATATGCCTCTGTTTCCTCATCTATAAAATGTGGGTGATGAGGATAATAACGCCTAACTGAGATGCACTCGAAGAGTCAGCGCCTAAAAAGCGAAATACATCATGATCTCACGTCTTCTTATAATTCCCCTGAAAAATTGGAATTTGTTTCTTTCCTTCCTTCCCTTCCTTCCTTCCTTCCTTCCTTCCTTCCTTCCTTCCTTCCTTCCTTCCTTCCTTCCTTTCTCTCTCTCTCTCTCTCTCTCTCTCTCTTTCTTTCTTTCTTTCTTTCTTTCTTTCTTTCTTTCTTTCTTTCTTGACAGAGTCCCACTATGTCTCCCTCAGTAGAGTGCAGTGGCGTCACAGCTAACAGCAACTTCAAACTCTTGGGCGTAAGTGACTCTCTTGCCTCAGCCTCCCAAGTAGCCGAGACTACAGGCACCTGCTATAACACCCGGCTATTTTTTGGTTGTAGTTGTCATTGTTGTTTGGTGGGCCCTGGTTGGTTTGAACCTCCCAGCTCCAGTGTATGTGGCTGGTGTCCTAGCTGCTGAGCTACAGACACCGAGCTTCTTTTTTTCTTATTTTGAGACAGGATCTTTCTCTGTCCCCCAGGCTGGAGTACAATGGCAATATGATCACTACAACCTTAAACTCCTAGGCTCAAGCTATCCTCTTGCCTCAACCTTCCAAGTAACCGGAACTACAAATGTGTGACACCTGAATGATTACTCTTATTTTTTTGTAGAGACAGGGTCTCACTAGCTTTCCAGGTTGGTCCTGAACTCCTGGCTTCAAGGGCTGTGCCTAGTTAGATTTTCTTTATATGTTATCCAACATGGGCCATTAGTGAGTGCAGCTGAAAGAGGGTTTTATACAGATGTTAGATTATGTAAACATAATAAAATTTAATATCCTTGAAAAGAAAGATTTTCATGAAAGTTAACATTTGTCTGACTTTCCAGGCCAAAAGTACTCTGATGTTCAAGGTTGTGGCTGTACAAGCTAGTGCTAATAGGGAGATTCCTACAGTAATATGTCAAGCATGAAAACGGTCATAGAGAAGACTTTGGGTTCAGATAGCAGGGGCAAGTGTGTAGCGCTCCAGAAGCTGTTTCATGCCAGTCTCGGCCCTAGCCTCTGCCTCAGAGAAGAGCCCACTCAACTCTGGCTCATTCTTTAGGGTGTGGGTTTGAGTTTTCAGAAACGTTTTCTGATGATGCGGAAACAGAGGTTCTTTCTTTCCAAATGAAAATTTGGTTAGGGCTCTTTACTTCTTCCATTCAGTGGTAGTCTATGGGCCACCAACCCATAGTCCCATGCCTTGGGACTATAGAGATGTGTGTTGTATGGTGAATGCCCTAGGGGCAGTATTGTCTCAGGAGCGGAGCAAGTGAGCATGGCAGTGCCCATCGTGCGCAGCTGTAGAGTGATTTGTGGGGCTCTGTAAAGCTCCCCACCTGCAACTAACTCCTCTGATTGACAGCATCACTTGTTCAAGGCTAGGCCACATGTTTCCCAAAGCACTCTTAAAATGCAGATCTCTCACCTGGGATATTGGCCAGTGAGTAGGGTCCGTGGTGGAAGGGACACAGGGCAGCCATGTTTTTATAAAGGAGGTCTGAGAGGAAGAGATCTCCAACCCGTCCCTGCGTCTGGGGGAAATGACTTCTTGTGGTCTCCAGTGGCATCTTCACTCTCCCCGATTTTCTCCTCGGTGATCATTTGCTCTGAGCAGTATTTGACAAACTTGGGAGGAAGAGGTGTGGGGCAGCTGGGGGTGCGTGGGAGGGGAGAGGGCAGTGTAGGAGCTACAAAAGAAGCAGAGGTTCCTTAGAGCAATGATTGGGTGGTTCTGTCCTTTTCAGCATTTGGCCTAGTATAAATCCTGAGCCAGACTTAATGCTAGCTGTTCTTGGGGGAATGAGGAGAGCCCCAAACTTGACAGACCTAACTTGGTTGAATCCTGCCTGCCTTCCTTTCTTACTGCCCAAGTAATAAAATCCTGGGCAACTCACTTAACTGTTGGAGCTTCAGTTACCTCCTCTATAATATGGACATGAAATCTCTCCCACTAGAGATTATTGAGATGACAGAAAAATGTGCGGCATTAAGTACAGTCTGTGGCCCTTTGCAGACACTCAGGAAATGGTAGCCAATTCAGTGGTCTTTACCTTGACAAAGCGTATTGATGAATGTTAATCTCTCTGCATTGTTATGATTGACCTTCCAGGCCATGGAAAACTTTGCCTTGACATTGAAGGCCTCTGCTCAAATGCTGCAGACATTTGGGGCCTGCCTGGCCTCAATAGAGCTGCCCAGAGGCATGTCGTCCACTGAAGACCTTCTCATGTCCCACAGAAGGCAGCGGGACAAGCTGCAGGTGAGTGGTCAGTGGCCTCTCATGGCTAACCTCTGTGCTGGCAGGTGGTTCTGCCCTTTGGGGAGAACCAGGAACTGAATTAAAGTTAAGCCGCCTATTTCTTTCTTCTCCAGTGACTTGGCAGTCACTTACCATCTTAAACCTTCCAGATAGGCAGTTTGTGAAGAGGAAAATCCCTTGAGACTGGGTGTGACCTATGGGAAGTGCTGGAGAGGTGTGTAAACACCCTTTCAGAGGGTGCACTCCTATGATGCTGCCCAGGACAGACCAGAATGTCAGATGCTGATACTGCAGGCAGAGGGGGTGGCTTTTGAAGTAGAAGCTTTACAGCAGTGGTTGTAAAGTTTTGAGGCAGACTTAGAAGCTGACTTATTGCCTCATATTCTCAGGGTTGTGTCTTTTTATTTGGAGACTAATTTGAGAGAAAGGACTATGGGAGTCTGCTCAGAACTGAGTTTAAGGATAGGTGCTTATTAAATGATTCATAAAATCCAGTCAGAACCTGCTGAGAAGAGAGATTGGCAGGGTCTTTCAGTCACCCAGCGAAGGGAACTCTCCCTGGGTCTGCCTGCTGGATGAGCGTCAGCGTCTCTCTGCCTTGAGAAGCACCAACAGATAATAGATTCTGTGACTCTGTTATTTCACAGAAGTCCAGTTTTGGGTAGAGCAGCAAACCCAAACCCAGAACTGAACAGTCAGTAGTGTGTCCTTGCTGCATGGAACTTGGGAAGAGCTGATCCAAAATTGGCAAAAGTTTTTTGCTACATGGCATTTGTTCATTTATTCAACACTTCCTGAGTATTTGCCATTACATGCCAAGAAAACCAAAACTTCAACCTCAAGGAACACATAATCTAGTTAGGGAAGTCTCAGAGGCTAGTAGTTGAGGCAAATTAATTTTTCCGTGTGCCAAGGAACACTGTTAAATTCTGTCTTTAAGGAGGTTGTTATCCAGAAAGTGTTCAAAATAAGTATATTTCCCAGATTTCTTTGAATAATCAAACGATCTGGACTGAAATCGTGAAATTCTGGCAATCTCCTGGAAATTTTCCCTGGAAATCCCTCTGAGGGGTCTGACCTTTTCTTTTTCAAATATTTTGGCCAGGATCACCCCACATGATTCCTGAGAGGCGCTGGTTGCAGAAAGCAGGGTCTGGGTGCAGGGAAGTCTGCGCGCACCGGGGAGCGTGCGGCGAAGCTGGTCCCGCGCGGCAGGGCCGCGGCGCATGCGCACAGCGCATTCTCTGCCTGGGTCCGAGAAGGGTCTGGGAAGGCTGCAGAGCAGAAACGCAAGATGGTAGCACCGGCAGTCAGAAAGGTCTCTGGGGAAAAGGGTAAAATTTTTGGATTTTAGACAAGGCCACATTCTTGGGATGTGGAAATCAGTCATAAGGCCCCGCTGTTTGTGCCCGGGAAGGACACATGAGGGAGTGTCCTGCAACTTCTGTACAGGCAAGGAGTTTCTACCGAGGGCAGGGGGCAGGAAGAACCAGTCTTCCAGATGGCGTTAGAGCATTTTCTTACAGGTGGTAACCAGGTATTCTCAGAGTCAAAACAGCAACCCTGACCGTGGCTCACACCTGTAATCCTAGAGCTCTGGGAGGCTAAGGCGGGTGGCTTGCTTGAGCTCGGGAGTTCAAGACCAGCTGGAACAAGGAGACTAAGTCTCTACTAAAAAGAAAAAAACTCGCAGGGCATTGTGGCGGGCATAGTCCCAGCTACTCCAGGGGCCGAGGCAAGTGGATCTCTTGAGCCCAGGAGTTTGAGGTTGCTGTGAACTATGATGCCACAGCGCTCTACCGAGGGTAACAGAGTAAAAACTCTGTCTCAAAACCAAACAACAACAAACGGGCAACTTTGAGCAAAGGAGACTAAAACTTCTCTCAATTATAAAGTAGGGTAACTTTGTACATTCACATAATTTGAAGTATTATTTGACATTTATGAGAAGTAATTTTACGCTCTAATTATTATATGTATGTCTCAGTTTGGTGAAACACTCCTATCTAACCTGTATGACAAGGGAAAGGTTCCGTTTGATCAGCCTTGAGAGCAACTTTGCCTAAACTAAACTGAGATGCTTGCATTTATATCCCATCCCATGCCACCCTAAAGGCATGGAGAAGGCCTAGAGGGATTTTAAAATAAAAGTTCTCAAAACAATTTAACTTGTCCAAGTATTCACCTTGATTACAAATATTACAGTCATTTGGAGTAAAACATTATGCTGGCTTTATTTTACCAAGTATTACAAACATCCTTTAAAAGACAATTATAAAGAGTTTCTTAAGGCCTTTTTTGATTATTAACTATTGGCCTAATACAAATTTGGTGTTTTTGTTCCTTGTAATTTATCAAGAGTATCAAAATCATTAAAGTAGGGTTACATTTATCCTTTTCCTTGTCCAAAAATACTTTGAAGAGAGAAATGATTTAAATGAGAAAAAAAGGATAGTGTTTAAACTTTTATTAACAACAGTTTTTTGTGATTATTTACATGTATTTTACTCATATTAGTGTTTTTAAGCAAACCTACTTTTTAAGCAAAGGTTCTACATGTAATTGAATAATTTCTTTTCCATTTGGAAGGTACCTTTTCCAAGTGAAAAACCAGTATAAGATTCATTCCTCAGAACAATAGGCTTTTAAGTCTATTTAAAATCTATAAAAGTTACGGCATAGGATTTACCGTTTTCTCTAAGCCTGGAGAACTTCTTGCCTTTTTTTTTCAACAGCTGACACAGCATTAAGCTTGATTTCTTGAATCCTTTTCTCCTGGGCATCCAGATAAGCACCTACCTGCCTCTACAACCAATCAAAATAGGAAGGAGATCCATGGAAGTGGAAGATTTTTACAGCCTCATTTGCTAATTCCCTATGGAGTTGTTCCTACTTTGTTCAAAATTATCTTCTGCTAGATTACAGTGGTTCTCAACCTTCCTAATGCCGCGAGCCTTTAATACAGTCCCTGTGGGTTGTGACCCACAGGTTGAGAACCTCTGCACTAGAATCTTTTTTCTTTTGGCCTTGCTGCTATATCAAACCATCTGTTTACCCAGGGAAAAAAAAAATCTGAAAACATTCACGGAATAACCTTAATCAAACTTTTTAGCAAACTGATGACTTTAAAGAAGGCTCTTCTTTAGAGGTATAAATTCCTTTCCTTCAGGCTGAGCCATGGATTGGATCTTAATGTAGTCTTATAGTCAAAGTGTACTCTCAGCTTCAATACTGTTATTTTCTGTCCAATCAGATTGCTGGCACTTAAGCTTTGAAGCCTATTTTCTCTGTAATTTTGCTGTCTCATTTGAGGGACAGAAAGGAATTGTGAGTACAGTGCACACAACCAGTGTCAGCCTCCTCTGGGAGATGCTAGGTCCTGGTGAAAGAGACGGGCAGACATACGTCTGTATCCCACCAGGAACATTTCCACTGCTGAGAAAAGTGAGAGCAAGTGCCCAGAGCACTGGGCGACTCTATTTCTTCTGCAAATTAGATCCCTCTCCAAGGATTGCGTTCTGAGGCTGTGCTTTGGGTTCACTCTCAGTTTATCGGCAGTTCATGCCCTGTCACAGCAGGACCCTGGCTGCACATAAAAAGGCAACTCCCAGAAAGGGTGTTCCAGTAGACAGAGCCCTGAGCTTCTCCTGCAGCATGGGTGCTGGCAGTAAAAAAGTTAAATACCCCAAATGGTTAAGGATATTTTGTTTCCATGGAAACTGAAACTTTTATTTTGGGGCTGGGCAACTTACCTTTGCTCTTTCCAAGTTCCTTCATCGTTCCTTCTGTGTTTAGGGTACATTTTTATAAATGTACTCAAGCTAACTACGTAGTTTGGTCCCAAAGCAGTAACCAGGTCACAGTGTTGGCTTCTATTTTTTAACAGTGTAAAGGGCATACACAGAGTATGACATCACTTATGAAGAGTCACCTTCTCTGACGCACACGTGTTCCTCACACTCTGCAGCTCTTTGAGTCGAACCCTCTCCCTAGCTTCTCCTCCTATGTCTCCGTCTGCCCTGGCAACGCACCCCTTCTCTTTCAGCTTCTCTGTCTTTCTGCCCAACTCTCTGCCACAAAAGTGAATATGAACAGATAGATAAGGCCAGAATCCTGCTGGAAACCTGGGAGCAGTTAAGAAACCACATGGGGAAAGCCAGGATCCCTTTTGGTGGTGGGAGGAGGGAAAGGCTAAGGCCACTTGACTCTTAAGTACATTTTTACCATTATATCTAATTTGTCTTATTCATCTGCAACCTGATTTCTTTAGGACTGTTATTAATTTATCCAACTTACAAATATTTAATGAGCATTGATGAGATAAGAAGAAAAGAGGGCCAACACATGAGAGTGGAAAAGAAGGGATAGATCCCATTCCCAGCAGGAGTGCTAGCCAAGTGGCTGACCTCGAGCAGCATTACCTGGTGTGGACAGACCAGCGGGGTGTCCAGAGAACTCTGAGAAGCAGCTCTCTCAGAGAAGGCAAGTCTATCCTCAGCCACATTCAGGGACAAGCTTGAGGAGGGGTATAAACCACATAGCCCTTCTGGGGGAAATTCTGGAGAGAAATGGGAGGCAGGAGACAAAGGCATGAGGTTGACAGGGCCCAGGACTACTGTGTGGACAGAGTTGGGAAGCACAAAACTCTTCCCCAGGGAATGAGCTCCAGGCTGTGTGAAGGCTGCAGAAGTGGCTGGGCCTAGAAGAACACTTCAGTGTTCCTGTGCAAAGAAGTGATCTTTTGATTTAAATCTTGCTCAGGGGTGTACCTGTGACCCAGGAACCAAATGCAGACTTCCCAAGGATTTGGAAGTAAATAGACTCCCCCAGTTACAAAGCCCTAAATCCCCATGTTAAAAGAGCAGAATATAGTTGCCTTGAAAGTATAAATCTTTCCATGTCGAATTGAAGTTGTTGCCCATCTCTGCCAAACTTTAATAATTGAACAAGACCACAGTTGGTTGGCTTATAGAAAGAGAAGCAGGTATTTATTGATGAGATTAGGTAAAGTATTTTCATGGACAACTAGCAATTGATACATTATTATTGCTTGACATTTTCTTGACATTCAATATCTGTCATTTTCTTGTTTCTGGTCAGTATCTTGGATTAGATTTTATTAACCAGTTTTAATTTACAACAGCTTGAGATACATAGAAAAAATACTGTCACTTTTGGAAAGGAAAGTGGACAGGCTGGGGGATAAAAGACTTTCTTTTTTTTTACATTCTTTTGTCTAGTTTATATTCTGTATCATACATAGCATTATCCATTAAAGATCAGTTAATTAATTTTTAAAGCTCATTTTTATTTTACTAGTATTTAATTCCTTAAATAAAAAATATGCTAATCTACCACTCTCCTCACCCCAAATCTACCAAGAATTTGTTTTTGCTAATTTCTTCTAAGAGATACATTTTTCTTTCCCTAGAATGAGCTGAAATTGCTTGGAAAGCAGGGGGCCACTTTGCTGTCATGTATCCAAGAACCAGCGGTCATAAATCCTGCCGGCAAACTCAATCCCAATGAACTTGAGAATGTTGTTACCATGGAAAGGTGAGTGAGTGGAATGGAATATGGTGTTTCAGAAATAATATGTAGTACTAGTGGTTGTGAAACAGCCAAGAACAGACTGGAACAGCTTCTCTTGGGTATTGGTGGGGGCAAGAAAGAATAATATTTAAGACAACAAAGGAAAGAAGATTGTGTCCATCTGGCATCCACTTATAGAGATCTTTTTATGAGAATTCCATTCTCTGCTCTTATATGTATATAATATACTCCCATCCCAGTATTTCAAGGATATGTAGTATTTGTAGAACTTCATTTCCAAATAACAGTTTGCTTTGGTGCTGTGCTTTTTGTGCATGTAGTCTTGGGTGGAAAAAAGAAGGCACAAAGGTGTCACCTGGGGCACATTTTAAAGCACAGCAGCTGCAGCTGAAGGGATGTTTCTGCCTGCACTGTGGATGTCCTGGCTGGAAAATGCAAGGTGTGGGGCCCTGCTGAACAATTTGAAAGGCATAGGTGACACAGACTTTCATGATAAGGCGATTGCCACAATTAATAACAATGACAGAAAACACTGGTGTTGTCCACATCTGTGCTGCATACAGAGGCCTGCAGAAACGAATGCTAACTTAGTATCACTTCCTCGTTCTTTCTTGAAAGGCTGTTAGTTCAGTTGGATGAAACAGAAAAGGCCTTTAGTCAATTTTGGTTTGAGCATCACGAGAAGCTTAATCAGTGCCTACAACTACAGCACTTTGAGCACAATTTTTGTAAGGTATGGTTTTCTTGCTTACTATAACTTTCTTTTCTGGTTTTCTCTGCCCCCTCAGAATCTGTGGTGTTGGGTTTCCCTCTTCTCCCTAATGGGGCTTCTTCCCCTGTCCTTGCTTCTTCACAGAACCCTTCCCCCCAGCCCCCTTCTCTCCTTTTCAGTGGAGCAGCAATGTTTTAGAGCCCCATTTTCTTATTGCCACATGTGACCTTTTAATGATAGTTTATCTTCATTTTTGATTAATAATCTGTTGAATTTAGCTCTAAAATTCCTTTACATGTGTCTCTGCACCCCCAGCTTAATCTGAATGTTAGTGATCTATGGAAAGGGGGGGGAGATCTTAAGATATACAAAAATTTTTCGGATTTTTGCATTGCCTTTTAGCATAACAGGTCTGTATCTCCCAAGGAGTGTGTGTTGCCTGACTTCTGTACTGTGCTAATGTGTCTCGTAGGTTAAGCTTGCCCTGGATAATTTGTTGGAAGAGCAAGCAGAGTTTACAGGCATCGGAGGCAGTGTGACGCACGTGGAGCAACTTCTCAAGGAACACAAAAAACTGGAGGAAAAAGGCCAGGTTTGTCTTTTGACATTTTTGTGTACAGGGGAGAAGTCATACTGTCCAATCACTGCTGTTGGAAAGTTGCTAAGGACTCAGGAATGCACAATCCTGCCCATCAAACACCCCACACCACCCAGGTCCCCAGAGATGTGCCTGTTAACAGTCCTAACAAATAATTTCAGTAGCACAGCCTTCCATCGAAGCTGCCAGAGCACACAGTTAAGGCTGGAGGACTTGGTAGGGTGAGGACTCTGGGCCAGCCCTGTCCTCTTATGGAGTCACTAGCCCAGTGGGAGGTCACATGACCCTCCAGATCAGTTATCCCAGAGTCAGCTTAGAGCTACCCCACCCCTGGGGACTGTGGACTGATGGTGTGGTGTGTGCTGGGTGGTAAAAAGGAAGGGAAACTATTAAAAGAGGAAACCAGAAATGAAATTAGTTTTATTCCTAGAGCAAGATGGTTAGACAGGGGGAAGTTGGACCACATTGTTCTGTTGCTACAGGGAATTGGCACATCTTTCTTCTTTCTCATGCCTCAAGAGTTATAAATATGAGACTTGAAGAATATTTATTTTACAATTCTCATACCAGAATTAGTTTCCCAGATCTGCATACAAGTCAGCACTTAGAGTTAGTCCTTACAAAGGTGTTACATTACAGACAAGTTCCTTTCTTTTTAAAAATCAGGTTCTCTGTGTTTTTGTCTCTTGGGAACCAGTCTCTTATGGTTAGCACTTCCTTCCTAAGCCAGTCTCAAGGGATGTTTCCGAAATAACACTTCGGTAATACTAGAGATTTGCTTCTCTAAGTATCAGCCTCTGGTCAGCAGCATGGATGGAGTTTGTTAGACATACAGAATCTCAGGGCCCACCATAGAATCAGAATCTGCCTTTTCATAAGACCCCCAGGTTGGGCCCACCTTAGAATCAGAATCTGCCTTTTAATAAGATCCCCAGCTGATGGCACACATTACTGTTGGAGATGTACCTGCAGTGAATGATATAAAACCAATATAAACCGAGTCCACACGGCTGTCAGTTGCAGATTCTGAGCTGGAGGTGCTTCTACACATGTGTGAACACACGACCCTGCTTGTACACCCCGATCCTTACCCAGGATTCTCATTCTTTCCTAGTGAGTGCTCTTTCTATTATCAGGGATCATTTGACAGCTACACTAGTATTGAAGACACATGAGTCATCAGATACATTTATCCAGCAGTGGAATTTCATATATGTGATGACTGTATGTCTTAGATTCTCTAGGACAGCCCCAATTTTATGTAATTTTACTTCTTTCAAAAGAATTCCTTATTAAATATAGATACCATGTATTTTTGCTTATATAGATTCATATATTAAGGGGGAAAAGGCCTCAATAAAAATGCCTTTATATAAACACGAAGGTGACTACTGTCCCATCAGGAGGTATTCCTGACACCTGGCAGTCCTGTCCTAAGTCCTGTGGATATGGTGGTGAACCAGACAGTCAGGACCCTGCTTGCATGGAGCTTACATTCTGCTGAAGAGAGATGGTTTATTAAAAAGCAGTAAAATAAATAACAGTATCAGATAGTGACCTGTGAAATACACACAAAAATAAGATATGATAGGAAGTGACTGGGGGAGCTACTTTAGCAAGGGTTGTCAGGAAAGGCCTCTCTGAGATCTATGTATTCATGCAAATGTTTGAGGAATAGCATCAGGGCAGAGGCAGCTGCAAGTGCAAAGCTCTGACAGGGGGGTTGGTGAGTTCAGGGGAAGTTACTGCAACACAGTAAACAGGAGGAAATGAGGTAAGAGAGAGGTGCAGAGGCCACGTGGCCACCCTGGGCCTGGGGATCTCTGGCAAGATTCTCAGTAGAACAGCAAGCCTGGAAGGCTCTCTGCATTGTGTTTTGAATTGTGGTGATGGGTCCTGCGTTGCATTCTGTCTTCTGCCCACCTCCTTCAACTCATAGTTCTTGATACTTTAGCTGACCAGAGCTGGGGATGGAACCTATGGTCATGGGACGTAGGAATGCCCTGTGAATACATGACCCATCTTTCATGGGCAAAATTCTCGAACTAGCTGGACTCGCTCACTGCGGGTGACCTATGGAGCCCAAGCAGATTGATTTTATTCATCCTGGCCTTGCTTACCCTGTTTTAAACTTTCTTCTAAAGGATACAGTACACTATTCCTCTGCCTTTGGGTGAACAAAACAAAGCTATCTGATCATAACTGATACTTTTTTTTATTTCGGATTAATATAAAGGTACATACTAGTAGGTTACATTGTTTGTGTTTGTTAGGTAAAATCCAAGTTGCAGTGGAGCCCTTCACCCAGGAGGTGTCCCATATGCCCCTACGTTGTGATAGGTGAGAGCACACCAATCCCCTCCCCACTTCTTGAATTTAAATGTGTTTTTCTCTCAGGTGCCTGTGTAGTTGTTCATCTAGTACAGTGGTTTTCAACATTCCTAATGCCACGGCCCGTTAATACAGCTCCTGTGGGTCGTGACCCACAGGTTGAGAACCGCTGATCTAGTAGTTCACATTAGTATTGAGTACCTTGGATGCTTGCTTTTCCACTCTTGTGATACTTAGGAGAATGCTCTCCAAATCCTTCCAGGTAAATACAAATGATGTGAAGTCTCCATCTTTTCAAATGGCTAAATAATAGTCCAGGCGTCCTTAAACTACAGCCTGCGGGCCACATACAGCCTGCCTAGGACATTTATCTGGACCGCCGGGTATTTTTGCCACCGCTGCCTGTCCTGCTTAGCAGCCGACTCATCCCAGGTCCTGCAGTCTGGCCCTCCAATGGTCTGAGGGACAGTGAATTGGCCCTCTGTTTAAAAAGTTTGAGGACCCTTATGGCATACATGTACTGTAGTGTGTTAATTCATTCCTGGGTAGATGGGCTCTTGGACTGTTTCCACATCTTTGTGATTGTGAATTGAGTTGTAGTAAACATTTGAGTGCAAATGTCCTTATGATAAAATAATTTTTGTTTTCATCTGAGAAGATACCTAGTAATAGGACTGTAGCATCAATGGAAGGTCTATTTTTTAGTTCTTTGAGGATTCTCCATACTTCTTTACATAGAGGCTATATTAGTTTGCCATTTCACCAACAGTATAAAAGTATTCCCTTCTCTCCATATCCACACCAGCATTGGCAGCTGTGGCTCTTTGTGAGTGGGCTGTTCTCACTGGATTTAGGTGATAATGTCACGGTGTTTTTGATTTGAATGTCTCTAATTAGGAATGATAAGCATATTTTTTTTGCATTTCCTATGTTGTTATCTTTCTTTTTTAATTTTTATTTATTTATTTCTATTCAATCATAGCTGTGTATATTAATGCAATCATGGGGTACAATGTGCTGGTTTTACATAAAATTTGAAATGCTTTCATCAAACTGGTTGACATAGCCTTCATGGCATTTTCTTAGTTATTGTGTTAAGATATTTATGTTC